AATATATTTATATAGATACTATGCTCTTTTTTTTTATGAAAAAATATATACATATACAACCCTTAACAGATACGCAGATCTGAGTTGACCTACACTTCTCTAGTACAAAGTGCTGTCTTCTGTCAAGTGTACTCATGGCTTTAGTTATTATTTTTTTTTAGAATAAAGATTGATTTTCACATTGTTACACTGTCTGTGTTCATTGTCTTTTTTGTTGAAAGTTAGCAGTCAGAATTTTGTTTATGCTTTACAGCTCAGACGTATTGCAGCAATGTTGGCTGCTACTTTGATACCATTGTCATTTATGTATCTATCAGTAATACCCTATAGTAAGTAGTTTCCGATTACTGTTTCCTAACTTTGGGGTCGGACTGCCCTAAGTGGTTAGTTTGTCCGGACTGTGAATCCCAGGATTTGCGGTTCGCGACCCTTTGCCAAATAAAACGCTCTTTCTACTTGGAAATCGTGGGTGCGTTATAAGAGTGATACTCAAATCCGGCTATTAGATGAGACGAGATTAGTCCAAGTTAATGATAACAGATAACCTTTGTGGTTATCCTTGTGTGTAATTCTGAACAAAACAAAAACACTCTCAATCAAAATTGTTGTGTCATAAATTTGTTGAAGCTTCTCAGTGCGATTCCCTTACAAGTTTGGATCGTATAACTAGTGTTTAGTTGACTATTCTAATGCCATCTTTATTTCTTATCACAAATTTGTGTTAGCTAAGTGTGAGTGAAATATTAATTTTGTTAATATGGGCTATTATTAAAGATATCGCTTTATAGTGGTTTTTTAAAGAACTCACTGAAGTTGCAGAAAGATTATAACGAAAAGAGTTTCTATTATAGTTTTTGTATTACCGAGGTTGGGTTTTGGCTTTTATGAACTGCTTCTACCTGTTTCTAAAGGTCTTAATACAGAAGCCTTAATGTCGTTCCACTCTGCTTCTTGAAAGCCAAATTCTACAATGTCTACACTACTTAAAATACCTTTGAAATATTATCGAAGTTATTTTCCTTTACGATTTTCAATGGCTTTCAGAATTAGACATATAAAAACTTAGCAGATATTGACTAAATAAAAAAAAATAAATTATTATAGGTTTTGACACAGCTAGTGGTGAAAAATTCTACCTTCTGTCTCCAAGTTGACCTTATTAACATTTAATTTACACTCAAGCTAGTAGTCATAAAATAGTTGTATTTGTAATATACGCCATTTCGTTGTTTCACTTGAGACGTTTTCGATCTCGATAGGAAGTAAACGTAACAACTTTGTTTAATTTTTAATTTTAAGAAAATACTCGCCGATTCAAGACTAAAACATTCGAAATTCACTTTCCATTCCAACGTCTCTCTCTTCATCAGACCTCCATTTGAACCCTTGTGGTTTTCCAAACTAGTTCACACGGGATTATTACCGAATTGCTGTCTTAGTGAAACTTACACTTGGCGGATATTTTGTTTTCAGGTAATTACTTATTACGTTTTTCGCGTTTTCCTATTTTGAGTTTAATGCAAGATCAATGACGAGGAAAAAATGTTTCCCAGACACAAACGGTTAATGTTTTATTTTATTCCCAAAAATGTTTTTTGTTTATTATTGCTACAGGAGAAGGAAGCGAAACATGGTTTTTAACTCTGATAAGATTATAGTTGTCAATAAAATTCTTGAATCCTGGTCA